CATTGGCGGCCGTCTGTATTGTTAGGTTAGAGTAACAAATATTTGGTTTGGGTAATTTAATTTCTTTTTCCTAAATTTCTTTTTTTAATAAAAAATTGTAAAATAAAAAGGGTAAAATAGAGATTTTATGTGATCGAAATGCTACTTATTTAATTGTTTTCTATGGAATGTTAATTATGAGTAGATAAACTAATATAGGGCATAATTACTCTAAATCGTTTGATTGTATAATAAACATCATTACGCGTAGACTTCGTTATTTTCGAAACATCAAAATACCTTTTTTTTARTCAATTAAATTTGGTCTGACTTGGGTATGTTGGTGTTGGATTAAGATACATCTCATGAAAGCCCAAAGAAAGGAGGGGATGATCTCCTTCCTACACAAAAACCCAAGCATCAAGATTTTGAGATAAAATTTTGTATTCGTACAATTTGGATAATAATAATAATACGGGTTCTTCATTTAATTTCCGGATCAGATTTAGTTTTACATTTTCATTTCGGAGTTATCAAAGATTTTTAATCAATTTTGTAAAATCTAAACATTTCAATTGATATGTTTTTTTAGCAAAAAAAAAAAAAACAAATGGCGAGAAAGACAAACCAAACATTAGTCTTTGAAGTTGTGCTCGTGAAAAATAAGATAATGAAACATAACCAAATAACAATTCAACACGACTAATATCCGCTAATTAGTAGAAAATCAGAACATTTTTGAAGTTGATCGATCGTATAAATGACGTTCCTACAATCGTAACAAATATTTTTGTGTGTGTTACATACACACTGCATAGTCCAGATTACTGATAGGTTTTATGGTACTTAGCAAAGGAGATAATTAAATAGAAGATAATGTGTATGATTATAAATATTAGCCAGTATCTGAATCATATCAAATTGGTGGTGTGAGAGGAGAAGCACGTTAAGATTGTTGCAGGAGACAGGCTGTGTTACAAGTTAATGACCACACACTTCTCTTCCACACAATCAGGCTCCATTCCCAGATTTAGATCCCAAGAATCTTGCAATCTGGAGACACACACAGTGTATTTTAATACACTTTATTACCAGAATGGGCCTATTTTAATTGGGCCTTTATCCAGGTGAACAAAACATTTTAGGCCCATCATTGACTTTTTTTGGTTGTTTCTAAGGGTGGTCTCAGTAGTGGTTCGGAGGGTTTACGAGCGGAGGAAATCAATCGTAGATCTGTTTCGCATCTGACTAACAAACTTTCATTTCGTCGTCGAAACTCGAAAGATCATCACAAAAACCATGGCTCTCTCTTTCGTTAGGTTTCTGATCTCCGCCATGGCGGTTTTCATGCTTGTTTCTGCTTCGTTTGCGACCTCGGAAGTTCCGTTCATGGTGGTCCATAAGAAAGCTACTCTTAACAGGCTCAAATCTGGCGTCGAACGTGTCTCCGTTTCCTTCGACATCTATAACCAAGGATCCTCGTGAGTTCTCTGCTTTTGATCTCTGTTTTTTTTTTCTCTCAATCCGATTGATTTCCGATTCGTGTTGGCTTCTGATTAGCATGAAGAGATTTGTTACTGTAGAATTAGGAAATTATGTTTGCTTGAGCTTTCATTAGATCTATCGTATGGATGAGTTACGTACGGATCTGTATCAGTAGCTAGTAAAAAGGAACACCATTTGATCTGATTCCATTGTTCCTCATAAATTTGGATTACGTTTTCGAATTTCGTATGGACTTTGAGATTTTTTTCTCAAGAAGTGTGAGATATTTTGTTGTTTACCTTCAGGACGGCATATGAAGTGACTCTGACAGATAATGGCTGGGATAAAGCTAGATTTGAAGTTGTTAATGGAAACACTTCAAGATCATGGGAAAGACTTGATGCGTGAGTTATCTATCTTCCTTAAATCATAAATCTTTTTAGTGGCTGCATTTAGCTTTTTCCTTTGTTCACTAATCTGATAATTTTCCCCTTTTTGTGTGTAGAGGAGGTATTCTGTCTCATTCTTTCGAACTGGAAGCCAAGGTTAAAGGACTGTTCTACGGTGCTCCTGCGCTGGTTACTTTCCGCATCCCCACAAAGCCAGCTTTACAGGTTTGCCATTTATAGGCGCCCTACGGTCTTCTTTCAATGGAAGAAACTTGTTGTGTATCTTGTAACAAACTATCTATAACTTCTAGCAGCTAAGCTTGATAAGTTTATAGTCATCTACATTGATCTTTCTAATTAGAGTTACTTTCTCTTGTAGTGACCGTTGTTTTATGTTAACATGTAATATGGTTTTCTTGTTTGTAGCAAGCGTACTCAACTCCATTAATGCCTCTAGATGTCCTCGCAGACAAACCTCCAACAAACAAGCTTGACCTGGTAAATTTGACTTTTAAGGACTGTTCTTTCAGTCATCTCCTTAACGTTTGGTTTTTATCCTCATTATTGACTTTCATTGTTATCTTGTGCTGTGTCTTGGATGTTGCCTCTTGATGCTGCGTAAATAATCTCAGGCCAAGGTAACTCGATTTGGAATTCTCCTCTCCCAGTGAAGGAATAAAGTATATAACCGTTCTCAACTTACAGAATGTTTCAATTGTTGCAGAGGGTGTTGGCGAAATACGGATCACTTGTTTCAGTGATCTCCATGGTGGTTTTGTTCATATACTTGATTGCAACACCTTCAAAGTCCAACGCAGCAAAAGCTAGCGGCAAGAAGAAGCGTTAAGTTAGTGAAATGAAGGTGAGGAAGGTTGGTACGGTATGGTGCTGTGTTGTGTTTTGCAGTTAAACACATTCAAAAACTTGTAAGAACTATAGAACACACTTAATTTTGGTGTTGTAGAGGACCATCTCAATGAGCTATTTTGGTTTTGCGTAATAATGTCTTTGTGAGAGCGTAGTCATGGAGGTCTCTTTTATTTTGGTTCTGCCTTTCTGCGTTTTTATCGTTGTGTCTGCATTCTCTTCACTTTTACATATTTTGGTTAGTCTCTTRGTTGTTTAATTGCACGTATGCTTTGTATTCTCTTTATTGACTAGTATGGCCTCTGTTTTGTAGAGTCTAATGTGGTTATAGGTTAGGTATTATGATTTTGCTTAAAAGTCAGAAGTTTGAAAATATAAACTTTTAAGCAAAATTGAAAAATATAACCGAAGTTGGAAAAGTAAGAGGTTCTATGTGTAAAATTGAAAAAGCTGTTAGCCTACTACCCCACCTTGGAGGATTTCGTCGAATTTTCTTAAAACAAATATGTCTTGTTGATAAGATGTTTTTCAATCAGATATACAGACCGGTTAGTGTTCATTTACGCTGTTGAAATCCAGTTCTCTAGCTTTCGGAAAGATGATAATTTATTACTTGAAAAATAGATGGTTTATATCTTATTTTTTCGATTGAAGTTGGAAGAAATTCGAGTTTTTTGTTTACCAATTGTCGCTCAAAAAGTCGGTCCCAACTAGTTTCACTGCAAAAGCTAGTCTCTCAGGAGTAGGCCATTTAAATTTAAAGCAATGTGGCTAAAGGTTTGTTCGTTTGACAGCGGCTGCGTCATGCGGTCAGATGTTGTTCGTTTGCCTGCTGCGGCTCCTGCAGCCAAACGCTGCGGCTAGACGCTGCATCTTGCGTCACAAATTTTTGGCCGCAATAAATTTTAGCGCCTGCGTTTAAAAATTAGTTTCGCGGCTAAAATTTTAGACGCAGCCGCAGCG